TGTTTATTTTTTTAATTTAATAGTTATTATTGTTGTTATTTTATATTAAATTTTATCACATATTTTTTAATTAAGATAAAAATTTAAAAATATAAATTATTTTAATTTAAATATAAATTTTAATAATTCTTCCTATGCTTATATATTATTTTTCTGCATCTATGAATTTTATAATATAAATATTTTTTATCTACAATTTTAATAATAACGATATTTATTTACTTTTTAAAATATAATAATTTTTTAGCTGATTCAATAAATTTTGTAAGTGTTATTTTTTGTTATCAATTTTATTTGTTTACTGTAATTTTATGTATTGAATATAAGATGTCTTTATATAAACAACATATAATTATCATAAAAAGTAATTAAAATATGTAATAATTTAATAATTTTATAAAATTAAATTGAGAAAACTAAAAATAAAAATATTTTATAATATGAAAATATTTATAATTAATGCTCAAATAATATTTTAAAAATTATTTATAAAATTGTATAAAAATTATTACAATTATTTAATAATTATCAATAATACAAATAAAAATTTGAATATATGTAAACTAATTTGATAATAAAATAATTATATTTTTATTAATATTATTCAATAACAATAATCATTATAAATTTTCAATATTATACAAATTTTATTTTATTTTTTTATCTTTTCTTAAGCAATTTTATTGGTATAAAATTTATAATAAAAAATTTTACTGATTGTATTAACTACATCACAACAGATTACAAACCTAGCACAACCACATACCTCTGAGCCAAAAATGCTATCTCACTTATATTTTATTCTTATTTTATTATTATCTATAGTTACTTTAAATATAAATATAAGATAAATTATTATATTTATTTAAACAAGCTAAAGAGCAGCAAAGTCTTCGAATAAGATTAGAATGCAATTAAAATTAAAGAAACTAATATTTAAAAATAAAATATTATTATTATTTTAATTTATTTTTTATATTCTTAATTTTATTAGTATTAATATTTAATTTTTATATTAATATATTATGTTATAGTTTTTTATTTATAATAAATAAAAATTATATTATATTTGAAACTAAAAATATTTATACACGATTACACGTGTTTAAAAACTAAATTTATTTAATCATAAATTATTATATTTGTTATATTTAAACAAGATGAAAAAGAATAAATGAATTAAAATTTAAAAATAAAATATTAATATTTTTTAATAAATTTTTCATATTTTTAACTTTATTATTATTAATATTCAATTATTATATTAATATAGTATGTTATAATTTTTATATTTATAATAATAGAAATTGTTTAAATATAAATTATATTTTATTCGAAAGAAAAAATTTATAAAAAATGATAAGCAAATAAAATATAATATATATATATATATATATATATATATATATATATATAATCAGACCATATAACAAACAATATAATTATAAATAAATTATATAATAATATATATTTTTGTAACTTGCACGTATTTTAATTAAATTATTAGTTAATTTATCAATTTATATGTAATATATAAGTATATGTTTTAATTTATTGTATCAGTAATATTTTTTATATTACATTAATGTTATAATATAGTTAATTTTATGTTTATTTGTTAATTTAAAATAATAAATTAATTAAACAAATAAAATTAAATATTTTGTAATTATTTTTTTAATTTAATAGTTATTATTATTGGCATATATATATATATATATATATATATTGCATTAAGTTTAAATTTATTTATTTTTTAAAATTTAATAATTTTGTTTTAATTGATTTAACAAATTGTACGAATGTTATTTTTTTTTATCAATTTTATGTGTTTACTATAACTTTATTTGTTGAATATAAGATGTCATTAAACAAACAAAATATGTTTCTAAAATAAAACTAAAAGATTTACTATTTATATAATTTTTAAAAATAAATCAAGAAAAATATAAATATAAATTTTATTAATATAGAATATTTATAATTAATACTTAAATAATATTTTAAAAATTATTTATAAAATTATATAAATATTATTATAATTATTTAATAATTATTAATAACATAGATAGAAATTAAAAAACATATAAACTAATTTGATAATAAAATATTTATATTTTTATTAATATTAATTTTTTTTTGTAACAAGCTTTGTTAACAGGCTTCAGGTCAAGGTAAGTTAGGCTTAAAATAAAGCCTTTAATAGATAACAGGCCAGACTCATACTTAATAGTTATGTTACAGGCCAGATCTATTTAGAGTAAAATCTGACTTATTTTGGCCTATTTCTATCATTAACTGAATGTTGATGAAGGTGATCCAATTTCAAGATATGTTTGCTGCTTTGGACAACATTTGTATATTAAAATAATCAACTTAAGTAATTTAAAGAATAACTTTATGACACTCCCTACAAATACAAGCCAAGAGAATGAGCACATGTCTGCCACTAATATTTTAATGTAAATGAAAGTCATTGACCAAGTAAGTACATAACAACTGTCATGTTTAAGTAAATATTAAATAAGTGAATATTTAAGTGAATAATTATATAAATTCATGTTTAAGTGAATATTAAATAAAGTCACATATAAAAAAAAGGTAATTAACATTTATCATAAAAATATAATGCAAAACATACTTAATGAAAACTGAAGTAATTGATATGCCTTTTTAATTATTGTAAACGGGTTATCACATATTTATAATGAATATAGTTAAAAGAATTTAAATATTTAATAACTCATTTGAGTATCAATTTTTACCAATTAATATTTTTTAAAATTGCTAATATTAATATTTTTATTATTATTTAAAAAAAAAAAGCACTAGAGTACTAATGCACACAATTGTATGTGGTAGCTCAGGCTCATCGGTGATGGTGGTAGCTAGCCAGCAGTCATGCATATCATCGTTGTTGGTCACTGAAGGCGGCATTTTTCTTTCGAAGTTAAGGTGGCGGTCAAAGACAGTGGTCCAATTTACTCATGATTGAACAAAAAAAAAAAAAAAACGAAATTATTCATAATTCAATATTTTTTTATTTCATTACATGAAAAAAAAAAAACAGTGATAACCGAAAACTATTTATTAAAATATAAGTATATTTTTAAAAATAACCATTTTTGAAATTTTATAAATAATTCATAATTATTTTTGAAAACTTAATGATATTTTAAAAATCTTTGTCAAAAAATACATTATTTAATATAGTAAAAATTAAAAAAAACTTTTATTTAATATTTTATTTTAAAATTTGACAATGACATCAATGACAATTAATAAGATTTGTATATTTTAAAAATTCTAGTAGCATGCACTCTAAAAAATTGTTTGTAGTATATTTATGCTTTCCATTAAATATTTTTAATTCTTTATAACAAACTGCAATGATATTAATATATTATATATTCAATTAAAAAGGCCTTAAACTGCAATGATATTAATATATTTCATATGAAAATAATACTACTTAATTTTACCCCAATTAACTTTTCCATTTTTCCATTCTAAATTACGTGAAAAATATGGAACCTCTCTATACTTTCAATAAGATAAAATACAATCAAAATTACTTTTGCAGGAGATAAAAATTCATCACTTTCATTCAAAGTATTTTAGTTTTTGTAAAAACTCAATTGCAGCCATCCATCTCTAATTGTTGAGGAGGCATACAGTCTATTAAACTAATTTTGTATAATTTTTTTAGTTCTATTAATCTCATAATTTAGAGTTGATTTTAATAATTTGAAATTAATAAATTTTTATTTTAAAAATATTTATTAAATTAAAATATAAAATTGTAATAAATATGTTCTAAGTAATTTTTTTCTATTATTTTTTAAAATTCAGCTTTATTAAGTCTTGCTTATAAATAAAATTATCTTAAAAAGTATATTTTGGTAAAATTATAATTTCATTAAGATTTAATATATTTTCAATTTTTATTCATTTTAATATTTTCATTTAAATTTAATTAATTCCTATTTATATTTAAATTGTTTGATTTTAATGTACTATACTATATTAGATTTTTTTAGATACGCTGAATGTGTTATGATTATATAAAATTTTAATAAATATTAATTTAAATTTAATTTTAAAATTTTGATGTACCATAGCAATATTAATGGTATTTACGACTTTTTATATCTTAATAATTTTTAATGTGTTCTTATCTAATGTAAAATGATATATATATATATATATATATATATATATATATATATATATATTAATAATAATTTTTTATTATATTTAATTTAATTTAACTTATAATTTTATTTGAATGAAAATACTAATGCATACCGCTTGTAAAATGATTCTTTAAGATTATTGCAGTCAACAATTGCGGCTGAAGATTTATCATCGACAAAATTTGAAGAATGGAACCTACTCACTACTTCATTGCCATTATATGGTTTAAAAGATTAAAAATTGTCCACATTTGACCCACAAAAGTGATTTAGAGTTTTTCTAGTTGGTAACTGCTGTTAATTTCCCAAGCCAATACGTGTAATTCAGAACAATTTTCCATTGCAGTCTCGTAATTAAACATTATCTCTATTTTTTATTTATTCAATTAAGAAGATAATACATAAATTTAAAAACATAATTAATTTATTTTTTGTTTTTGATTCACATCAAACATACTTATATATAAAAAGGAAAGAACAATAAAACAATATCCTTCTACGATGTTGTTTTTACATAATATTTCCTAGAAAAACACGAGTGTTACATTCCATCGAAATTTATATTAATTTTTTTTTATCTTATGCATCATGTGTAATTATTTTATATAATAATCAATTTTATTTTCTTAACTAGTGCATTCGATGTATAGATAAGATAAAAAATTCTTATTAAGAAATAAAAATACAAAATTTAAGACACTGAAATCTAAAATTGTATTTTTATTTAATATTTCTAGTTTTCAAATCCTTATCAAAATATCACAACAACACTCATTATCCTTTAACTCTCAAGTATATATCCCAATCCCAAGCCACGTTTTGCTTCATTACAAGGAAGATACTATTCCTTTATTCAAAGCATGCAGCATTCAGTACTGAACTTGAAATTTCATTCACTGCTGATCCTCATCCCACAGATCATCCAGAAGAGGCTTCGTTGGTCCTTTGATGAGTCTCTCTTGGTAGATTTCACTTATTTTCTTGTAATCATCCTCTGTCAATGACCAATCAAAGATTTGCAAGTTTTGTTTCATCCTTTCCTTGTCGTAGCTTTTGACAACAAAAGTCACCCCTTGCTCATATATCCATCGAAGACATCTGTATAATTTTTATAAGAAGGATTAGATTGCATATAAACTACCTAAAACAAATTGATAGATGGTATTAATTATTAGGAGGGTGTGAGTTGCTATTCAAACTTGTCAATTGTCACTCTTATTTAATTAATTTTATAAAAATTTCTCTATATTATCGGTTTGCTTGATAAAGAAAGGAAAGGATATTATAAATTAAAAATTTGAATGTGAATGACAAAGCACACTCTTATAATAATCTCCCTTAATGCAACAACAATATAATATACCTGAGCAACAGTTTTGGAGTGAGCCTCTGCCAATTCCTTGAGAACATCATTGTCCATCACTAAATTGGTTCCTCTGCTGGCACCTTTCCTCAGAGGTGAGAAAGCTGTTAAGGTAACACCATTTGCCTTGCAGAATTCTCTGAGCTTCTCTTGTTGCCACCCAAGATTTATTTCAACCTATCCCAATTAAGTTTCACACATTTAATCAGTGGTTTAAAACTATACAACATATATATATGCAAATAATTATGGTTAAATTAATTAACAAGCTTAATTAATTAATGTATACTTGATTCACTGCAGGAGGGATTGTAGCAAAAGATAGCAAATTTTGAAGCTTCTTGATGGAGAAGTTGCTGACTCCAATGGCTTTGGTGAGGCCAAGTCTTTGGCACTCCTCCATAGATGCCCAAACACCCGTGATGTCAAATGGGACAAGCTCTGATTGTTCAACGGGATAGGTAACCTTGCCTGGTTTGGCAGCTATGGGCCAGTGGATGAGATAAAGGTCTAAGTATTCTAGCTGAAGTGTGCTGCACAACCACACACATAGTTAAATATATATTCAAAATGTAACCAATAATTAATAATAGAACATGTAGGTGACATTAACCTTAGTGATTTCTTTAGAGCAGGAACAATGAGTTGAGGATGATTGTCAGTGACCCAAATTTTAGAAGTGATGAAGAGTTGGTCTCTGGAAGCAATGAGTCCAAGTTGAAGTGCTTGTGCAATGGCTTCTCCTAAGGCCTGTTCCACCCCATAAGCAGAGGCAGCATCGAAGTGCCTGTAACCTTGTTTAATGGCTTCAAGCACTGCATCTTTTGTGCTAACTTTACTGCCAGATTCAGGAGCTGTGCCAAGCCCAATCACAGGCATTTTCCTTTGGCCAGAGGAAGAGCCAAGAACTACTTCAGGGATTGCAAGAGGTGCCATTTTGTTGAAGCTTGACTTTTTAGTTATGTATTGCACTATTGTTGGTGTGTTTGTGTTTGTGTTGTGAAACAAGACATGTGTTCATCACCCTTTTATAGTTTAGAATTTGGGTTCCTTCGAATAAGAAAGATGGCATAGTAAGTTTGGTGGGTGGGATCAGTCATCAGTGGCTGGCTGGCTGCCAGTGTCACCAGTTTGGTCTTCTACGCTTCTAAAAATAGGAAATAATAAGAGAACAGACATGTTAGTTGTCCAACATTTTGTCTAAAAAAAAACCAAAGAGATAATTGTAATAATTCAATTTCTTTTTGTAAATAATAATAGTAATAATAATGATATATTATAAACATAATCGACTATTAAATTATTTTTTCAGAATTAATTCAAATACACACTGAATTATTGTAAAAATTTGTGTTTTTGACTCGGTTGACACTGAAAAAGAGAAGTCATATATTTATGAATAATGTTAAATTCTCTGATTTTTACTTTTATAATTTTTTAATTATTAAATTAAAAGATGTTAAATATATTTTATATTTTTGAAATAATATATATGATATTTATTTGATAAAATATGTAAAGAGATTAATAGAAAGATGAATAAGAAGAAGAAGATATAGCAAAATTTTTATTTTGGGGGATTTTTTTTCCCCATCCGAAAAGAAAGGGATTGTCTGAGTCACGAGGTGAAGACAAATCCAAATGGTTCTTTGAATTCAATTATAACTAATTGAAAAGGACGGATCTCAAATCCAAGAATGGAATGGATTTACATTACTGTTCATATAATCAAATTTCGATTAAAAATGAATGGTTTCAATCTGTTATACACCAAATTCCATTCATAATAAGTAGTAACGATTATTTTTCTCTTTTCTTTCAAATCCATTTCCTTAGAAATGCAAACATGTTAAAATAAATCCGTCAATTTCAATCTCAAATTTGATCAAAGAAGAGGAGATTAGTGAGGTCTTTAACTTTAACATATGCTTTAAAATTAGGATTTCTCTTGAGGACTAAGAAAACTTGTATGCTCCTAGAAAACATATGCATTGAATGAGAATTTTTTTAAAGTTATTTGAAAACATGTGTGATTATTAAAATGTTTTATTTGAAAGTTATTGGTTAGTATAAAACTATTATTTGCTCATTTAACATTGACAATTTTTTTAAGCCTAGTAATCATTGAATTGCTTTTAGAACTATATAATAGGACTTTTTTTTTTTTTTTAAATTAGAATCTTTCGTAAGTTCAATGTTAAAGATATTGAATCACACCTCAAATCTAGGTAAAGGTAAATTTGATCGAATTTGTGTTGAAGTTATCTTAAGAAATTTACTAATTCCTTGTTTTAAAGTGTTTGATCAATAATTTAAAATTGAGTATCAAGGTCTCCACTTAATATGCTCTTCTTGTGGAAAGTATGGACACTAAAAGGACAAATATTTAAAAACAAATAACATTCTTGAAAACTATAGAATCAAAATCTAAATGATAAAAAAATGATTATAAGTTAAGAGATGATTGGAAATGCTCCAATATCCCTTTTCTTGACTCGAAGAAAGAGAGAGGGGCCATTCTCCTTTTCCCTAGGGTTTCCTTAATCCTATCTTATTTTTCTCTCTTAGCACTGCTACGACTTTGGGTTATTCTCAGAGGTGCTCACCGAAGTTCACTAGGGCTATCACCCTCAATCCATTTGGCTTCAGATGGAAGCTTTCACGGCAAGGGCAGATGTAGAGAAAAAATCTATAGAAGAGGCGGACCTAATGACTCAAAGCAAATAAAATGTCAAAATGGAAGTCACAGTTACTCATGAAAAGTCGAATTAGCACATGTAAAAAGATCTTCACTATTCTTCTTTTCCAAATTAGGTTCTTTCTAACCTTAGTGCTCCGGTATGCATGTCATATAGGGATAAAGTTCTTGCATCGAAAGAAATTAATATGATCCTAGGTGATGAGGAAATAGTTAGATCTGTGTTGGAAGCTTAATATTCCTCCAAAAAGTGAAGATACTAACATGAATAATGACGAGACCTAAGATTTATGTCCTAAAATTAAAATTCCTCTTAAAGATTATGAGCAATGGTGCTCACCTTGGAAATTTATCCTGATTGTTAAGCTTTTATGAAAGTCCATAAGTTTTAAATTTCTTAATAAAAATAATTGGGAGCTTTGTGGAGAAAGAATGGTAAAAGTTTTGGACTTAAATAATGATTATTACCTTGTTAAATTTGAAAGTTTAGATGATTATAAAATTGCTTTATTTGAAGGCCTTGGCTAATATTAGATCACTACCTCCTCGTTCAGAGATGGAGGTTTGTGTTCAAACCTAATGATCATAGTCTAAAAAGAATTGCAGCATGGATTCGTATCTCTAATTTAACCTTAGAACTGTATAATGAAAAAAATTTATAGCAAGTAGGGGCTTGTTTAGGGGTAATGCTTAAAATAGACCCACATATCTCCTTAATCTCTAGAAGGAAATTCGCTAGATATATGTTGAGCTATATTTGAACAAAAAACTTGTCCTTTCTTTGAAAGTATTAGGGCAGAATTTTAGGGTTGAATATGGGTGTTTGTATTTTATTTGTTTTACTTGTGGTAGATATGGTCAGAATAGAAATTTGCGTTGAAAATTCTATAAACAACCATGAACAAAAGCTTTTTGATCTTGAGACCTCTAAGTGTGCTGATAATAAGGATGAAATGAATGATTCCTCAAAGATTAATACTTACAAGGTTTGTAGACATACAATTCTCAATATATTTTCTAATGAATTATTTGATGTCTATTGTTCTTATAAGAAAATCAACAAAATTTGAGAGTTTTTAATTTTCAAATATACTACTGAGGATGCTGGAAGAGTGAAGTAAACCCTAAACCCTAAACTCAAATCAATGAATATCATAAGCTACTAGAAAACATGAAAACTAAGAAGATCACATTGCCTAGCATTTTGTCGCTGGACTACTAATTGAAAAATTACCAAAATCTTGGAAGGATTATAAGTAGCAACTAAACCATTACATAATTATGTTAACATGTGATGCAAGAGTTTGATTCATCATAAATTACCAAAAGACATACCATTTGATTCTAATTATGTTAATATTGGATTAACCACGTGAAGATTTTCAAGCATTCAATCAAGGTAACCTAAAATCAATTTGCAATCGCATAATCAATGTTAGAAAATCTAATCTAAATCTTAATTTTGATTAACCTAGATCACAAATATGTAATCAAGCCTCCAATTAAACCTAATTAAATTCAAATTTATCAATTTAAAATTCATTAGGTGTTTTATGATTTTATAAGATTATATTTTAATTAAAACATGTTAATTAAACTCAATCAAGATTAATCGTAAATTGAACTAGACTAGAGGAGAAGAGAGGAGAATTAGAATCTAAACTCAAATTAAGCACAAAATCTTATAAATCAAACCATTGCATTGCGAATCTCTAGGTTGACTACAAAAATTAGCCTTCAATGACTATCTCTATGAATGAATCAAACAAAAAATGCCAAAACATTTTGAGAGAATCCGAGAGTAAAAGAGAAAAATATCTTCACTCTTCTTGAAAAGTTAAGACTCTATACAAGTTTTGCCTTCCAATTGAAATAATTGTCTAATTACAATATAATTTCTAAGCTACTTCACTCAAATAAAAACCCATCAAATTAGTTTTAAAATGAGATATTATTTGCTTGATTTGAGTCTAAATTAAGGAAGATATGTCTCACTATGTGAGGAAAGGTCATGTTGTTTGACAACATAACATCCCTAACTTTGAGCTCAAATTTTACCCTTAATTTGATAAAATAAGCTAAAAGGTATTTCATAATAAACTATAGGTCTTCGTCTTAGCTTTCCATAGTCACCAAGATCATCTAAATCTAATATCTATAGTTTTAGATATTGCTTGTAGAAGAAAGAAAGATCAGGATGTAGTAAAATCTAAAAATTAAGCATTGAATTCAAATTCATCACCTGAAGGGAGTAACTTATTGATTGGTGAAAGACTCTTTCCAAACTCTTCTTTCATAAGAAGAGAAAGTGAAATTAGAAAGATTTTTTTTTGGATCTAGGTTTAGAAGGTGAAATATATCAAATATATCATACAATACATTCATTACACATTTGGAATATTACAAACATATGAAGGGAAAATAAATATTAACTATGAAACAAAAAGAAGATAAAGATAAATAATGGACTTTTAAACCTCTAGATAACGAACCTAATTCTTTCACAAGACAACGTTGTTAAAATTGTTGACCACAAAAGTAAACAAAATTCATAAGAAACTGAAAAGGTCCTAACTCGTGAAGGAAGGATGAAAAGACAAAACAAGAAGTTGAAACCTTCTTAGCTTAGGGATTAACTTCATTCACTCAATCCACACCCTCTTAGTTAAAGATTGGGTTGGCATAGTTTTCTAGGTTAGTTCAAACTTCATCCCTTGCTCAAGAGGAAATCTATTGAACCCTAATATCACAAAGTATCATCAAAATCATAAAATTAAGCTCAATTAACATCCAATAAAACTTATTATAAACCAATAATGATTGTTTAAAAATCAATTAATCACCAACCCAATCCAATTAAATATTAGCAGGTTGGTTCGAGTAGATGAATGACTTCAAGTAAAAATATTGAAATCCAATAAAGTACAAGTTGAATTATTGGCTTATGATGTTAAAACCCAACCCAACCCAATAGGCCTAAAGAGCTATTGCACATGAATTTTTTCTTATTATTTTGTATCATTTTGTTTACTTATCAATATGCTTAAAGTGAAAAATTGAAGATTAAGAAGTAATTTGATCTTTCAATTTATAAATGTTATAGATTACTTTAAGTTGTGCAATGAATAATAAACTTTATATTTTATAATTTATAAGTTGTTGTCAAAATTTATTTTTTACTTTGTATTACTTGACGCTTTTATTTTATATGAATATTAAATTATTAGCACTACATTATATTTTAAAATGAATGATTTCTCATTTAATTTTAATTAAATTTATTATTTGAGATGTTAGGATTAGACCATCAATGATACATAAAATTTGAAATTTTTTATATAATATTATAGGTGCTAACTCAACTACTCAACCTAATCCAACCTATTTATGGTTGGGGCGGGTGACAAATTTTTTGTTGTCAAAATAGGCCTAACCTATGCAATTTTGATTGGGTTAAGTCATTTTTTATATCAAAATCTGCTTAATCTAACTCATAAACCTCCCTAATTAGAGCTTTGACTATTAATAACTTATCTTTTAATTAAATTTAGTTTATAAAAATATTTGATCTAATTGTTTGTTTAATATTTTCTTAATTTTTATAAATTTTCATTATAGAAGACATGACAATAAAAAACAAGGTGTCTCACTTTCAAAGAATATCTCGCTTTTCTTTGACATTTTGCATTAATATACATGGTTTATAGATCTTTATATTTTGTGCATTTAGTTGCTTTTGATTTAACAATTGCATTAGCGAATAAATTATATTTAATTTTTATGTCTGAAAAATTCAGATATTATTTGATTACTAATTTATTTTTGTAATTTGGCAATTAAAATTACAATCAAATGTATATTTGATTTTTTAGTGCCATTTTTTGTTATTTCTTTTATTATTATGATTATTGTTAGTAGTTAATTTAGTCATTATTAACAATATTTTTTTACAAAATTTTGAGCACTCATGTAAACAAATGTTTACCATATCAAAATATGTGATAACCAATTTATACATCAGTTAATTTATTTATTTTTAATAACAAATATCTGCTTAATGATAATATTCAAAAAGTTTATTCTTCTCCTTCATACATGTATGTAGTCAAGTGTCCCAATTATAGATTTTTTCAATTCTAAATTTGATTTATTTGATAATTGATAAAAATTATCTTAGCAATTTGTTTACACTTATATATAAATTTATTTAAAAATTAATAATTCATTATTTCTATTATACACATGCTATTATTTTTAATATTATTATTGTAGTAATATAGTTAGAGATTAAAATAAAATAAAAACAAAATCAATGTATCAAACTGAAAAATAAATAAAAGAATAAAGTATTAGTTATGCCTTTCAAATTATAACAAAAAAAATTATATATTAGATGTTTAAGTTTTTGAAAAAAAATTAATAACACAAAATTTAACAAATCATTTTCATTGATTCCACATTTAGGACAAACAAATGATATTTAAATTTAATTACTGTAATATATATATATATATATATATATATATATATATATCTTGTACAGATTAAATTATGAAGCTCTATATATTTGATATTATTTATTGTGTTAATTTTTATATAAATATTTTTATATTTTCATCCTTATATAAAAAGCAATTTATAGATAATTTTTGTTATTTGCTAAAATTAAAATTGTATTACATTTGATCTTTCAACTTAATATCATTTTTATTTTATATTTTATACATGATGAATTGTTTTTATTTTAATTCATACATAAAACAAATACTAGCATTGTTGTAATTTAAATAAATAATAAAAATTAATTTATAAGTAGATCGGATAGATTTATAATATAATTTTTTATTTATTTGGAAAAAATTTCCTAAAAAATAAAAGATTCACACAATGAACTCTTGCATGCGTTATACAATCCAAATTAATATTCAGAAGATAATTCTTCTTGCATTACAAGGAAACAAATTATTAGTGTTTGAAAAATAATTTAACAAAATAAAAATAAAGTTACTATATTTTGTTCTGAGAGATGACAATTTATCATTTCAATAATCTATGATTCAGCATCAATCGGGTCAAGCAAGGGGATGTCTGCACCAACTGGTTCAATCAAAGGCACGTCAAGATAAACACAATCACTCCAAATTCTTTCACTTCTCGCCAAGATCTCAGCTTTGTTTGTCTTGAATTTGGGTAATCTTAAAATATATTTTGTCATATCATCATGACATTGCTTTCCCACATCATTCACTAATTGGACGCAACAATCTCTGTTAACAATCTCTTTGCCAAAGAATATAGCTGAGAAAATCTCATCCCCACAGTCTGAGTTTAATCTCACTGCACAATTGTTCAAATATCTTTCGTACGTGGATAATGGCCTTGGGGCATAATTAATTTCCACAGATGGACCATTTGATACTTCCAAAACATCTTTCGAGAAACCTTTTGTCACCATTAAAGTAAAATTACTCAGAAATACTGCTATTACACACAAGTCACGGAATATACCCATAGTTTGAATGGTTGAAGTCTTTTGGTGTCTATGAAACCTTGATGATGGCTTTTAAATGGCTAGTGAAACTGTATATATATAGTCTTAATTTTAACATGAACCGGATTTGATCACTTTTAACGAAAAAAATAAAGGAAGGAAATTAATTAACATTAATAAATTGATAAAACATACACTTATCATTTAATTCATGTTTTAACGTTTTCGTTTTATTCTTTAAGTTTGTATACAACTTATAAATATGATGTTTTAAATATAATTGCTCTTTACCTTGAAAAAAATATTACTATTATTTTAGCAAAAAGATTAAAACACTGTATAAGATAGTTTGGATATGAACAACATATTATATGATTTTTATCGGTCTTGTGATTGTGTAGTCTCGATTCATGTATAGTTTAAAGTTTTTCAAAACATAAAATAAAATTTGAAATTTAAGACAATGATAAATTGATAATGTGATACTTTAACACAAATAACAACAGTTTAATTATTGACATAAAATGTTTAAAATACACTATTTAATTATCATTATCTTTAAATTTAACTCGTATGAAAAGGTTATTCAGCCACCCGAAGTGGTTTTACACGTTTCAAGTAAAATGTTTTAAGTTATAGATTATTAAGACCCATTACTAACTTATAATGTGTTGTAGGAAACAGTCATGTCTTGTATGAACCAGTCATTTATAGGTAATAGTGAATATACAAACATATAGATATTCTTAATATATGACAGGAATTGTCACCCATGAAAATTGAATTGACTAAGAACTCATAGCATATACCACAAAATAAGTGTTACTCTATATTTCTCTATGATGTCGTTAGCGTAATATGTCTTCTATAAGAGCCAGGGGAGCGGAGGAGCCGGATGTTGAAGGTCAAAATCTACACATATGACAATGTAATAACTCTTAAGAATGTAATTAAGCAAGGCGGGTACTCTAGGTAAAATAAACCATAAATACAAAATTTGATAACACCAATAAAAATTAGCATTGATCTAGCTGCATGAAAATTCCATTGGTCATCGTTGAAGAACATGAAGACATACCTATTGAACAAAGAAAGTGTTACATTATTGTCCATAGCATATACACATTCTTAGATATCTTTAGATGTATTTTAAAAGTTTATTGGGTTTAATTTATTTTAAGTTTGTTAAGATAAGATAATTTATTTCAATTAGCCCAATTACTTCTAACATTATTTTTATGATTGTAGGTTAATTTGACATTATTTTTTTTGTTAACTATAATTAAATTCAAGTCTTCATATATAATTACATTGGATTTATAAAACAATAATTGTATACAATATTTGTTGAAATATCTATGAATATAAACTTCAAAATTTATCATTTCTTGCTGATAACAAATGTTCCTTTAATTGTATGCAATATTTGTTGAAATATCTTTTCTATTTGAATTTTTTGACAAAAGATGAATTTTTTTTCCAATATCCTGTCGAAGAAGAATATTATTTTTTGCAGTGTTGATTTTATAGTCAGAATTATGTTTCCCTTTAAATTGCTTATCAATTTGAATACAGATTTTTCATTTATTTTTCTTTTTTCTCTTTCTTCTTATTTTAATTAAATGTAATAAGAAAAAAAAGAAACCTGTAGAATAGGGAATACACAAACTGCTCACGCTGCCTGCAAACATATACTCATTTAAAATTACGAATAAACGAAATGAAGTGTTTGAGCAAAGAAAAAGAAATGTGATTCAGAAGGAAAAAAAAGCATATGTGCAACATAAGGGAAGACAGCCGAAAAAGAGATAAAAAAGAGAGAGAGAGCAATCGAGAAAAAGAGGATAGCAACCAGAGAAAGAGGAAAGAACAAAAAACAAAAAAAATAAATAGAGAAGAGAGAGCTCTAGAAGAAATGAATAGATTAAATAGAGAAAGAGAAATTTTCAAAAAAGGGGAAGGAGAAAGGGATCATAGAAGAGAGGGGAGAGACTTAGGAGAATCTAGAGAAGGGATAAGAATAAAAAATATGCACAAAAAATAAAGATAAAAAGAAGGGATACAAGATATAGAGGAGATCTCTAAGCACAAAAATATAAAGAGGATGTGCATATTTGATGTGATAACTGTGCAATTTAGCTTTCAATTCCTTATTAGAAGGTCACGGATTTTCATCATCTAATATATAATAAAGCTTTTGAAAATTTGTGAGCATTTTTTTTCTTCCTTCTTTCCATAACATTCTCTTACTGTTTATGTGTGTGTGTATATATATATATATATATATATATATATATATATATATATAATCTTTCTACATATAATCTCTTATTTCCATTATAAACTTTATTTCACTCATTCAGGAACCTTGATGTGTTTGTTCTAATAAGAATCAAGAAATTTGAAACTTTAGAAGAAAAAAAAGAAAAGGGAAAATTTGTTTTGATTTAATAAGTCTCATCACAAGATTTGATTTCATCATGCAATAACTTCATTCCAAGTTACATTCATTTAGTTTGTCCAATCACATAATTACATTAGCATGCATTTGTTTTATCTATTATCACCATTTGAAGATTAGTTTAAATTCCGCATTACAACTTTTATTTTTAGCCTAAACTCAAGATTTGATTGACTATTTTACCTCTTTGTCAAAATTCAGAAACTGATTGATCTCCTTATTTTTCTACCTTACTTTTATTGTCAAAGTCTGGAACTTGACTGGCACAGTTTACATTTTCTATCAAAATTCAAAAGTTTGGAACAAGACTAACACCTTTTATTTATTTTTTTAAAATCCGTCAGAAGTTCAGAACCTAACTAGTATCTTTTACTTTTCTTTCAAAATCCAAAACGTGACTGACACCTTTTACTTTTCTTTCAAAATTTAGAATCTAACTGCATCACCTTTCACTTCATATTTAAAAGTCCAGAACTTGACTGATATTATCCTTTCACTTTATTGTCAAAAGTCCAGAAGTTGACAATCTCTTTCATTATTATTGTCAAAGGCATAGAAACTGACCGATTCCCATCATCTAATATATAATAAAGCTTTTGAGAATCTGTGAGGATTTTTTTTCCTTTCTTCTTTCCATACATTCTCTTTTATATATATATATATATATATATATATATATATAATCTTTCTACATATAATCTCTTATTTTTATTATAAATTCTATTTCTTTTGTATGTTTGTGAATAGTAATAAAATAATAAAAATTATTAATTAAATTTTTTTAACACATTATCTTTTTTTTATTTTGAAGTTCAATATTGTGTTTTTTATGTATGTCATTTTGTCATTAATTTTTTTTTCTCTCTTTAATTTGATATTATTATTTTTATTTATTGTTTTTTATCTTATAATAACATTATTAATATTAGTGAGATAGAAATAATATTATGATTAATTTTCTTATGATTTTATGTATTTCATTATGTTTGTCTTAGTTGTTTAGTTAGGTATCAATATTAACTTTATTGTTATATTTTATTAGTTAATAAATCATATTTCATAAATTAAACGTATATATCAAATTATAATGCTAATGTATAGTTTATCTGTCATTATGCATTATAAATTAATAAGACCTATGTGTACTTATGTTACCTTGGGTCTTATTCTATAAAAATCTATCATAATATAAGTTTAATTAATTAAGTAATTGTTTTATTAATTTATCAAATATACTTTATTTTTTAATTGTTAATCATTAACTAATTTTAATTAAAATTATTTTATTAACACAACAATTTATAGTGTTATTGTGTAGCGTATTTACTTTTATATGCCTTAAATCGTAAAAACTTTTATGTACCAACGTTACCTTAAGTCCTATGCAATATAAATTTATAAAATGAAGTTTTATTTTTTATTAAATAATTATCTTATTTAATCAATTTAAATATATTTATTCTTTTTATTAAATAAAATTAATTTCATATTTTAATTTTTCCTAAGTTATATTTCTAAATTTGATAAATTAAATAACTAAGTATTTTTTCTCAAATTATTATACAAATTTTTGCAATATCAATGTGTAATTTAATTACCTTCAATTGTCCAATAAATCATAAGAGATTTATGTATAACTTACACTATCTTAAATTCTCTTTCAACATGAATCATAATATAAATTAAACTACTTCATTTATAAAAAAAAATAATTTTATCACGATTTACAATATGGTTGTGTGATCCTTCTTTACTTTCAGTATTGCTTCTCGTAAGGTACATATATAACCGCGTTATCTTGTATCTTAAACATTGTAATCTTAAAAAAATAATTTTAATCTTATAATAAAATTTCTTCAAATAAACTTAATTTTAATCAACTAACTTTATAATCTCTATGATAGAAGTAGGTGATTTTAAGTTTTCTATTTCATCCGAGGATACATAGAAGCAAGAATCAGACCTGTCGAGTTAAAACTATATAACTTAATATTTTAAAAAATAGAATTTCTTTCTTTAAAATAAGAATAACAATACTTATTCTTACGGGTTAAATAAATAATTCTTAAAATTATAATAAATTTACACAATTAATTTAAAGTAACTATTGTTTAATAGGACATTATAAAGTGCTAACACCTTTCATACACGTAAATTACTGTTAAATACATTTTTTATTTCAAAGATTAAATTTTTAAGTTTTTTGAATGTTTTTTTTTTTTAAACTTTGGTGAATGTTTTTGCCGTTCTGTTGCGACCCTTAGTGCGACAGGCAAAAACATATAATACGAGGGATTTTTGGAATTGTCTCTTCATCCATTATTTGGTTTTTCTCCTCAAAGTGCACCTTTGAGTTATATCTAGTGCTTGATTGTCATGCTCGTAAAGCAAATTTTAGTTTCACTTGGAATTAGAGAAGGATAAAATAGAGTTAAATTTAAGGAAAACAAGAAAAAAAAGTGAAGGAAACAAAACATAATTATTCATATTGTAATTTCATCACCGTCATTTGATTTCACAACAGTAAATCTTTAGTATTATCTGCAACTAACTTCATAGA